GACTGAGCTTCCCAGACCAGCTCGCCTCAGCCGTCTGAGGAAGTAGAGTCTCTGATGAGCTTTCTTGATCAGGCTGGTGGTGTTGTTGCTCCAGCTGAGGTTGTCATTCATGTGTACACCCAAGTACTTGTAGCTGGAGACCACTTCCACCGCAGATCCTCTTATGTTCAGGGGGGTGTAGGTGTTTTTGTTCCTTCTGAAGTCCACAATCATCTCCTTTGTCTTCTTCACATTGATGTGAAGGTTATTCTCTCTGCACCAGCTCTCCAGGTGTTCCACCTCTTGCCTGTAGCTGGACTCATCATTGTTTGTGATGCATCCCACCACCGCTGTATCATCTGCAAACTTTACAATGTGACAGCCTGGATGGGTAGCTGCACAATCATACGTGAGCAGAGTAAACAGGAGGGGGCTCAACACACATCCCTGAGGAGAGCCAGTGCTGAGGGTTATGGTGGAGGAGGAGAGGTTGTGGATCCTCACTAACTGTGGTCTGTTTGTTAAAAAGTCTAGTACCCAGTTGCAGATGGAGGGGCTTAGTCCTAGTGTGGATAGTTTGTCCATCAGGGTTTGGGGGATCATGGTGTTGAAGGCGGATGTGAAGTCCACAAAGAGCATACGGACGTAAGAGTTTTTCTGCTCCAGGTGGTTGAGCGCAGTGTGGACCACAGAGGAGATTGCATCCTCTGTTGATCGGTTCTCACGGTATGCGTACTGATGAGGGTCCTCGTTGATGTTGATGGTTGTTTTGATGTGAGTCATGACCAGTTTTTCAAAGCATTTAGCGACTATCGGAGTGAGGGCCACTGGCCGATAGTCATTCAGACCAGTCACTGTAGAGCTTTTTGGGATTGGGATGATGGTGGCAGTCTTCAGGCAGGTGGGAACTGTCTCCAGGGTAAGTGAGGTGTTAAAGATGTCTGCCAGCACCTCACAGAGCTGATCAGCACATTCCTTCAACACTTTTCTGGGGATGTTGTCTGGGCCAGTTGCTTTGTGCGGATTAATCCTCCTGAAGGTACTCCTTACTTCTGCTGAGGTCACGCTGAGATGCTCTTCGTCCGATGGTGAGGTGAGTCTGGTGCTGGGTGGTCTGTTCGGGTCTTCAAAGCGTGCATAGAACTTGTTGAGGGCATCAGGCAGAGATGGGTCTTTGGGGCATTGTTCACTCCTTCCTTTATAATCTGTTATGCACTTAATGCCCCTCCACATGCTCCGAGGGTCTTGTGAGATGAATTGACCCTCGATCCTCTGTGCATATGTGGCCTTGGCCCTCTTAATACCAGCAACCAGCTCTTTTCTTGTCCTACTCAGCTCCTCTGAGCTTCCAGACCTGAAGGCAGTGTTCCTGGCTTCCAGCAGGGTACATACCTCTGTATTCAGCCAAGGTTTTCTGTTTGGGTAGCTTTTAACATTTCTGATAGTGGAGACGGTGTCAGTACATGTACTAATGTAACCCAGAACTGAGGATGTGTATTGGTCAAGATCAAGCGAACCTCCATTTTCAGCAGCTTCTCTGAAAACCTGCCAGTCTGTTCGATCAAAACAATCTCTCAGTATGGGGCCACTGTCCTGGATCCAGCATTTAACTTTCTTTTGTACCGATCTGGAGCGTCTCAGCGGGGGCATGTAAGCAGGAGCCAGGAAGATTGAGATGTGGTCTGACAGTCCTAGGTGGGGGCGGGGTTTGTAAACAAATACTACAGTTGTTAAAATAAACTTTAGATTTTAACATTTATCCAGTTTTCCATTAGGATAATACTATGGATATTAATGCTGCTGTTACAATTCTGCCTAAAAACAAACAAAGAAATACTTCACAGTAGGGATGCACGATATTATCGGCATGGTATTGGTATCGGCTGATATTAGCGATAAAGTTAAATATCGTACATCGGCCATTCCATCAAAATAACTCACCGATATATATCCTGATGCATGCTCAATAATCCAGGTAGAAAAATCCAAAAAAGTTCAATCTGGTCCTCTGGACATTCAAAAAAACAAAAAACAAAACAAAGCAAAAAAATCTAGAAACGTTTCGTCTCTCATCCAAGAGACTTCCTCAGTCTGAGGTGCTGTTTTCAGCTCAGTCTCTTAAATAGCACCTTCACAGAGTGGATCAACCAGTTTGCTGCTGACAACCAAAACCAGCTGATCACATGCTCAAGAATATAGAATATATATATATATATATATATATATATATATATATATATATATATAAATATAAAAGCAGCACTGGTTTTGAATGACAACCCAGTGACAAGGAGATTTGAGTTGATCATTAAGATTGTATAACCATGTAATGGGCTTCTGTTTTAAGTTAATTTTTATTCTAAGAAACTGTCAAGTATATCTATTAATGCACTACTACTTATGCGCTTTTCACTTGTGAACAGGTTCGATTTGTGAAAATTACAAATTTGCACTGTTCAAGTGTTGTCATTGTGTTAGAGAGAGTAAATGTCATGAATAAATTTGACATTAAACATAATCCAGGTTGAAGTGTTGCATCATTTTCAGTCCCCTTTTTGGCATCTGCATTTGTTATCAGGTCAAATTGGTAAAGACCATGCAGAATAATGTAGTATTTTAATTCCACACCAGAGAAAGCTATGTAGTCTCTGTAAGTAGGTCTAGGAAAAATAAAATTGGTATTGGTATCAGTTATCGGCCAAATAAGTTTTAACATATGGCATATAGGATATAGGCCAAAAATCCAATATCGTGCATCCCTACTGTCCACGTTTATGTACTTAGCTTTCAGACTTGTATCTTAAAAATGTATGTAGCAGAGTCTAAAAATGTTAAGTCTGGTCCTCTGGACATTCAAATTTTTTTTTGAATGTCCAGAGGACCAGACTTAACATTTTTAGATTTTTCTACCTGGATTATTGAGCATGCATCAGGATATGTAGCAGAGCTACAAAGGGTTAGCAGGAGCAGATTCCCATCCTCATTAAATAGAATAAACTCCTGGGCATTGCATCAAACTCGTTCAAACTCCGCTGATAAACAGAGGGATGAATGAACAGGGGGATAAATCTGATAAGCTGTCGTCTTGATGATGTTTCTCCATTTTCTGCCTCGCTCTTCACTCCTTGCCAACTCAGTTTAGGCCTCGATTACAGCAAAAATCTAGCAGCTCGCTCTAAACGATGTGACTGTTGAATTGCATTCCCGGACGAGGAAGCACAACTTTCACTTGATCAGCAGATTCCCCAGAGAGTCGCTGGCAAGGAAGGCCAAGACAAATACAGCATCTGATTCAATCTGCGAATGTCTGACGCTAAAACTAGATGACACTGGAGCGTTTGGTTGGAACGGTACTTGACTTGTTCAATAAGCTCAGTCATTGTTGTTTGACTGTACCAGGAAGCATTGGAGGAGAGGAAACACAAGAACACAAATGATTTTTTACAGCCCGACTGCAAGAATTTTAGGAGGAGACTGAGGATTCAGAATGAAAGTTGAACTCGGGGGTTGTTTTTGAGGAAAACTCTGAAGAGAAAACTGATGCTTATCTCCAGCTGGGGAGGGATAAAATGAAAAAAGGATAAAGTGAAAGGCGATGAAAAGATACAGAGCACCAGAAGGTGCAGCAGCAGCAGCAGGACGTTTTATTATAAAATGTAATTAAAAAGCCTCACCTCTGAACTGCTTGCTTCGAATAGAAACATTTGATTCTTTAATTCAATATTAGCTGATGAATCATTCTCACGAGGACGTGACAGACCTCAGTGGCTCTTTGAGACACTTCACACACGTACGCACACGTCACACGTTACACATCTTACTGGGCGGCGCACTGTGGGTTATAACATTTTTGTTACACTGTTTTTGATCATATCATCGTTTCTGCTGGTATCGGCGCTGACAAGAACAGTCACGTTGTCAAAAAAAATGTTACATTTTTGAGCTTGGAGAAAAAAGCTGATGATGAAATCAGTGTCTAAATTATTTTGCAATGTTGAGGCGATAAAGACCGATCAGTTTGTTCCATTTTTAAATCAAATTTCATATGCAAAAAGCTTAGAAGATGTAGAATCATAGATAATCTATGAGTAGTATATTGTGTTCTTTGTAGTTTGTTCCCCTCATTACTGTTTGGGGGCATTTTTAACTCTTTTTGGCATCATGTCTTATGTATTATATACATTTTACTTTCGTCATTGCACTCTCTTCTCTAGCTCAATGCTCACTTTCCACACAAATATCACTCCATCTGATCTGCTCCCCATCCATCACCATCTCCCTCAGTGTCCCTCTCTCCTGCATCCCTTCTCAGATAATTACTACAAACCCAGGGAAGAAGTGAACTTGTATTTAAAGAGCTGAATAAGCAGGACCTCAGGCTGCTGACAGTCACTGTACAAAAACCATCACATAAAACAAGCAGAGCATACTGGTTTGCAGGCTGCGTTATGAGGGACTTTTAAAACATGCTTTATCATATGGTACTGTACTTAAATAGCACCTTTCTATCTAATCAAGATACTCAAAGCACTTTACAACTTTACAATCTGTGCCTCACTTACCTCCACACACACCCACACAAGCACTCTACTATATCTATACAAAACTAATCTGAAACTGTAGAGGCTAAGCAGTGCTTTAAATCACATTCATGCACCGATGGGACACACGTCAGAGGCGATGAGGGGCTCAGTGTCTTGTCCAGGGACACTTTAACACGTGACTGCTGGTGGAATCGAACCACCAAATCTCCCACTGGAGGACGACCTCTCTAACCACTCAGCCACAACTGCTCCATATCTGCTCTAATGGGCAATGTGTGTGTGGCTAAAACCCATTTTCATAATCTCAAGTTTTATTATTTACATTTAGGCTGATGTGCTGCATGAATATATTTAATGTCTGTTAAAGAACGAACAAGGCTGCAAAGTTAACTACAAAAAAGAAAAGAGAAGAAAATCACCCATTTTAGCTTGGAAGCATCTTATAAAAGGCGTTTGTGGATCGGACTGATTACACACCTGCTTCATTGTAAGTGGCAGAGAGCTTGTCCAGCATTTCTTTGTCCAAAGTCAGTATCTGCTGCTCCAGAATGGAGGGGTAGGAGAGGCTGACCCGCTCCTTCTTTTCATCTTTCTCCTTGTCTTTTTCTCTGTTCCGCTCTCTCTCTCGCTCGTAGGTCAGTAGCTGCTGGCGCAGAGCCTCTGGCAGGTGGGCCTTTGCAAACTCAGCAGCAGCCTGATAACAAAGAGCAAAGGGAGACAGAAGGAAAGTTAGTTGGCTGCAGATAAATGAAGGTATGTTTTTCTTGCAATCAAGCCAATCAATCAATAAACAGATTCAAGACTTAATGCATATTTGCAATTCAGAAAAATGTTTCAAATGAAATGTTTACCTAAATTGATGCTAATCCAAAAACCTTGGTTCAAAAGAATAAAAGTTGTATTTGCAAAATTGGACATTAGTTAAAAAGATATGCTGTACTGCAAATAAAAAGGTTGGTCAAAAACACTAAGACATAACAGAATATGTCAAAATGTAAATGTTTTCACATGTTTATGTGGAGAAAAAATAGACAAAAGCTTCGATTTGGTTCAAGGAAAATATAGCAGGCGTTTTGATCCGATTATTTTAAACATTTAACACACATTTACTAAAATAAAAAGTAAAATCCTCATTAGAAAAGTTGTATAATGGCAGTACCATTTATTTAAAGTGTTTCTTGTGTTAAATAGTTGTGTAGGCTCAACAATGAGATGGAGAAGAAAGACTGACAGAGCCTTAACAATAGAATGTATCAAAAAGGAAAGTCTTAAGCCCAGTCTTCAAACTGGACAATGTGTCAGCTTCATGGACAGAAACTGGAAGTTGGTTCCACAAGAGAGGAGCCTGATAACTGAAAGATCTTCCTCTCATTCTGGTTTTGGAAACTCTAGGAACCGCAAGTAAGCCTGCAGTCTGAGAGTGAAGTGCTCTGTTAGGAAAATATGGAACAATAAGATCTCTAATATAAGATGGAGCTAGGTTGTTGAAGGCTTTGTAGGTTAGAAGTAAGATTTTGAATTATATTCTGGATTTGACAAGAAGCCAATGGAGAGAAGCTAAAACTGGAGAGATATGATCTCTCCCACTAACCCTTTCCGTACTGAGAAATTCTGAATCTGAATCACGTCAAACGCATTAATGCTTGTCGAGCTTCATTGATCGCAAAGTTTTGCACTTCATGACAAAACTCCAGTCTATAAATTCAGATTCAGCTCTTCGTTTTTGTGCTCAGCCGGATAAAGTCTCCGATAAATCTGAGATTTAATGGAAGGGCACAAACATCCCCAGCTCTGAGAGAGGAATGTGAAAACGCCTCCCTGGTGAGAAACTGCACAGAAGGCAGTCAGGTCCAGGCAAGGTCAAATAAACAGAAGGAATTAAAAAACACCAAATACTGTAGTATTTCTTACATGTTTAATCATTATGAAAACAGAAGGGTAAAAACATTCACGTTCCTCCAGGTTTAGAGTCATTCATGTTGAGCTTTCTAGTAAACTCAGTAACAACCAAAACCTAAAATTTAAGGTTACCAAAAAAGAAGCAGAAAAGTACATGACGTGCACTTTATTTATTTTTTAAACCCACACAGATTGATACACCAACTAATTAAAAAACAAACAAATGTGAACTTGTGTACATGTACACACACCACTGTCTGTACCTAACACTGAGCTCCAATGGAAGCAACCGTATTGCTCTTTCTGCCGTGCTGAAACAGATAAACACAGATAAAGAAAGATAAAAAAATAAGCATCCAATCCACACCAGCTCATGCTGCGGGATACAGCTGAGCCAGAGAAACTGCACCCTCACCTCTTCACATCCTCCTCCAAGGATAACACTAAATAAACCTTTTTTTCTCTCACACATTTGCTCTGCAGGTTCAGAGCAAATAATGCCCATCCTCCCAAGCCGAGGGACACAAGGTCACAGAGTACAAATGTCACATAATATACAGCTGACGAGCCACTGATCTGCATCATCCAAGATTCATAAAGCTCATATTTCATACAAGGGTTTCACTTCAGCAAAGCACAAGAGCTGCAGAAAACGGGAACTAAAAGAGAAAAAAGAAACAGCAAGTAGGGAAAGAGTTTGTAGTTTTCACGTGTAATGATGTAAGGTCATCAGACATAAATCTGCAGACAAACTGAATGACTGGCGCTCAAACGCTGTCCCCGTTTCGCTCTATCTCCAAAACTATACATCCCTTTCTGTCATCTGTGCTTGGAAATTGCTTTAAAAAGGGCTCAAATAACTCTGCCTACATTGCTTTTAGTCTCCGCACGTAAACAATTCATCTAGTCTTCTTGTATTTTATCGGCACTATTGAGGCTTTCTTCTGTACACTTGGGTCAATCTCCCCCGTCTTCTCCCGTTTTTCATTTCCTAAAGTTCACTCAAGCCTGCTGCCATGGCAGTGTTCAGCCTGAAAGCAACACAGATCTTCCCTGCATCCCTTTCTGACTTGACTTTCTGGGAACAATCTGCGTTGACATACTTTTATCTCCCAGTTACCATGCGGGAAGCAGGAGTCAACAAACGGTTCAAAGGTCATAAATGGAGAGGCAAGTCTGTTGTCTCACTGGGTAATATCATCACAGTTACCACTTTAACTGTCTCCCTCCCAGTCCTCAAAGTATTGGGGTTACAGTTTCTGAAGTTACATTCTTTTTAACTGTAACCCAAGTCAGTACCAAGCTGGAGGATGGAGATGTATGAAAATGTCTTCCTGGATAATCAGACCAGCACATTTAACACCAGATTAGAGGATGAAAGTAAAAGAGGTGCACGAGAGAGGGATATTAAGAACAGATCGAGTCAGACTGAGACAAAGAAATGAAGGCAAGTGAAAGTATGAGAGCATAATGAAATACTGTAGAAGCCCACGGTGAGACTAAAGTTAGGGTAAAATGGGGTGAAGCTGATGATGACTATCATAGAAAAGTTATTCTAACAGAAAGACACCTAAAAAAATAAAATAAATATGTACCAACACAGGAATGGAGACGTAGCAAAAATGTTTTGAAATGTCTTGAACTGGTCGGTCATAAATGTACAGGAGTCAACACAGAGGCAGGCAGAATGGGTTCCCATGCCCCACAGGCTGTTTTTAGTGAACCGTAGAGGAGTTATTTTAAGAAAAAAAAAAAAAAAAAACTGCTTAGAATTTCTTTGGGCTGCACGGTGTCACAACTGGTTGCAGCAAAAAGGTTGCAGGTTCAAATCCCAACTGAGAGCTTTCTGGAGTTTGCCTGTCCTCTCCTTGTGTGGATTTTCTCCAGGTGCTTTGGTTTCCCCTGCAGTCCAACAACATGCATGTTAGTTTAACTCAAGGACCTTCTATGACTTGTACAGTATGGATCTAAAGATGTATGGATAGATTTTTATTATTGCATGCTACGATGAAAGGTGGGTGATCACGTGTCTGTGTGTGTGTGCATGTGTTTGTTTGCCTTTTAGCAAACTATCTCATGAATCAGTAGACAGAGTTTCATAAATCTTTCCTAAAGTAATCACTGTGCATCTATAACTGACCAACTTTTGAATTCAACTTTATTTAAGATGGCCGCCACTGCTAATCAACATTAGCAGTCATAAAAATGGATATAAATCAGACATCTTTAAAGATGTGCTAAAAGTCGATGTGGTAGTAGCTGAGAGTCATTCTCAACACCTACTGAGTGCTTATAGATCTTTATTTAAAGCTTTGGCATCTTTTGCATCCCTTCAAGGAACTCCCATCGTTTTAAAGATTTATTTATTTTTGCTTTGTCTTGTCATTTTTTTCTTCTAAAACCCACAACATAAAGCAATTCTCCATTTTTGCACGTATCTAGTTCTAGCCAAACAGACAGACTTGAAGACCGATTAAGTAAGTGAGCTACAGGAATAAGAGGATGAACCTAAAAAATGTACTAATCCAGTATTAATTTTTATGTATTGGGATATTTATTTGATTAAAATATATCATACGCTGTACTGTCCATGTTTTCTCTGCTCAGTCTGTGGCAGAAGAAAACGATGAAGCAGCATCACTTTTAAAAGAAGTGTTTGCTCATGTGTTGAAGAGACTTTAATCTGTTTGACAGAACAAATAAGAAAAGCATAATCCTGTCTGGGATTGTTTTAGGTGCTGTCTCATAAGAGCTTTGTGCCTGCTTATAATTCTGACAGATTTTCTTCTGATCCTTCACTCAAAAGCTGCGCTTCATTTCCCAGCTCCAACACAGGAGACTTGCTTTGGAGAGAAACGACTCCTGGCAGTGTGGAGCGTCACATTGGGCTCACCTTCACACCACACTTCACCTGCACTGCACAGTCAATACAAACACGTCTCAATGAGGCTGCGTTAACTCTGGATTATTTACTCCGTTATCCTGAGAGTTTATCAGGCAACTTATTAACCTTTATTTAACCACGCAAATCCCATTGAGATCACAGATCTCTTTTGCAAGGGATGCCTGAAGGCAGTCTAACATGCATGTTTTTGGTCTGTGGGAGGAAACTGGAGCACATGGAAGCACGAGAAGAACATGCAAACTCTACACAGAAAGACCCCAGGTCCAACGGGGGATTGAACCTAGGACCTACTTGCTGTGAGGCAACAGTGCTAACCACTGAGCTGCCGTGCTGCCAAACTAAAGCACAGAAATACAGCCAACCACATTTACTCAGGTCTTCTGAACATTTCCACAAATCATATCACAAGGCAGCAGAACTGAGAAAAATCATTTTCTTTTTGGAATCATTTTGAAGAAAATATGACCACTTCACCACTTGCTCGTGCTGAGATTGGACGTTTCTCCCCTCCCCTCCCGCTCTGCTTTGCTGCTCTGTCTGTCTGTGAAACTGCTTCTGAGCCTCTCTTGCATTTCTTCTGAACCATAGTTATGGACTTGTTTTGATCAGTTGGTCCCTCAACTCAATTTGCAACATTTCTTCAAAGAGAAGACCGGCTTTAGGCGAGCCGATTTGCCCTGTTGGCACGCACGCAGCTGGATATCTCATCCACTTGAAGATTTGATGATGTGTCTATCTCTGCTGCCACTTGTGGATTTTAAGGACGCATATTTAATTGGATTTACGATAACTGGTTCCTGCTTTTTGGATTCGGCTGGTTGCTGGTTTTATCAATCGATCAAGGAAGTTGTCGGCAGCAAATTTGGACCCGATCATGCTGCTTGCCTTTA